ACAAAAAGGAGACTAACTCTAAAAACACATAAACATGATTTATGAAAACAATCAAGCAAGCTAAGGGGCTTATAATGGAAAGCAACAATGTCTTACTGAGTTTTCCTGCTCCTCAGAGATTGTTTTCAATTATTCCCAATGTGACTGCTTTTGGGTTTTGTATTGGTTAGCTCTCCCATTTCTCGGATAAAATATCTGCAACTTGAAGGAGGAGAGGTTCCATGTGGCTCAGTTTCAGTTCCCTCAGGTAAACTGGCTCAAGGCAGAAACACACTGGTGGAGTGATGCTACCCACTTCGTGGTGGCCCGAAAGCAGAGCACAGGAGAACAGCAACAAAGAGGAAGGGGCCAGGGACAGGATATTGTCCCCAAGGCCATGCTCCCATGACCCACCAGACAGACATTTCTATATGCTTTACCAGTCTCTGAAGGCAACCATGTTGATAACAAAGATTAAGCATCACAGTTACTTTGTATCTCTAGATATGTTATATACTGCTGTTTCTAGATTTATCAACCTTAGACATTACCTAGGGGCTGTCTTCTGACATGTTAGATTATAGCAAGCTGAGCCTTCCTCCCTATCACAAATACAGTTCCACCATGATTTGTACCTCAACTACCTACTGGTTCACTTTGCTCAACCACCCACACACCGTCCATGCTTTCCCTCACTCAGGTATGCACTGTGTGCCTGACATAGGCGGAACACTGCAGCCCTTTGCTAGGTACAAGGGATGGCAGGATGAACAAAGCACAGAATCCTTACTCCTATGTGTTACATATTCAAAACGAACATAATAAACAAACATACACATACAAGTCTTACAAAGCCAGAAAATTAATACATGCAAAACTAGAAGAAAAAATGCTATGCAGAGGATTAAAACAGAAGACTGACCAACCACAGAAGTCCTCCTGGAAAGATCTACTGTGGTACACAGGGCATATAAGCACCCAATAAATATTTTATGACAGATCAGCTGACTTTGAGCTGAGACTGGTTCACAAGGAGAAGCCAGCCATGTAATGTTTGCTGTACCAGAGAACAGTTCTTGACCATTCCTTGAGATGAGGATTCAGCAACTCTTCCCTTCCCTCATCTCTCCTGTCCTGTTTTATTTCTCAGCCTCTGTCATCTGCACCTCTATGATTACACTCACTGTGGGGAGCTGGCACATGTACACACACATTATTTTTTTCATTGTCCCCATCTCTTGGTCTCCTTCCCTGTTGCAACAGATCTATCTCCCTATTTCCTACTATCATTTATTTTCTGCTTTATTTATATTTCGGGTTTCTCATTTAAGATAAATCATATATTTATGCTTATATCATATTTATTTCACTTAACATTACAGTTTCAAGATATACCCATTTTCCTATAAATGATTCAAGTTTACCTTTTTTATGGCACAGGAGTATTCCATTACGTATAAATACATTTTCTTTAGCCAATCATCTGTTTATGGACATATATGCCTTACCCAAGACTTAGCTACTATGAATTATGATGCTATAAACATGGATATGGATCACTACAATATGTTCTCTTTAACTCTTTAGAGAAGGAGAATAGCTGGGTTGAATGAAATTTCTAGTTTTTGTTTTCTGAGAAATCTCCATACAAGTTCCATAGTGATTGTTCTAGTTTACACTGCCATCAACAATGGAGAGGGATCTTTTTTCTCCAAAGAGCAACAGCATTTGTTATTATTTAATTTCCTGATAGTGGCCATTCTTTCTGGAGATGGAATCTCAGTGTTATTTTAATATGCATTTCTCTAATGGCCAGAGATGGTGAACATTTTTTCATATATTTATTGCCCATTTATACTTCTTCTGAGAAGCACCTATTCATTTCACTGATCATTTCTTGATTGGGTCTTTAATGGGGGGGGGGTCTAGTTATTTTTAGTTCTTTATATATTCTAGATACATGTTCTCTGTCCAAGAACTACGTATCTTTATTTAATAGTAATGCTTCTCTATAGGGCAAGTCCAAACATTGGAAACCAATAAGGTACACACCATTACAGTACAGATGCCTTTATTTTGGCCTTGTTACTATGACTTACTGCCCATGAAAGGATGTCATGGGGCTACCTCTTTTCTTTCCATAAGCTCCCTGCAACACTAGCACTGATCTTGCAACTTGTCTAGACCAGGGACTGGCAAACTTCTGGTATAAAACACAAACCAGTAAATTTTGGCTTTGAGAAAAGTATCTGTGGCAAATACTACAAAACTACATAATCAGATGGGAAGATGTAGCTTGACCACTTTAGTGTGTAACTTTACATTATCAAAAATAATACTTATAAAAATAATAAACTTGTATTTCTTAACATTTATATAAACTCTGAAACCTGAAAAGTAAACAGCAGCATTTACATTTTAACTATGTACTTATTATTTCGTATATAACTCGGCAAGTGCGCTGTGATTATACTTCCTTTATGTGCGTCCACGGCAATAAGCAAGTCCTGTGCCTTGTGGAGTGAAAGCCTCCCAGTGGAGGATGTGGGCCCTGTGAATGTGTGCGCCAGGTAGTACTCATCAGCAACAACCAGTGCAGGGCTAACCATGTCTCATGGGTACCTCCCTCCATTCCTTCCAAGTTCTCTTTGTTGTGAAGTAAACTCCAGGTGCAGAATCTTATTTATTTTTGTTTTATGAGATTTCCTCATCTTAAATTATTCAACTGAGTTTTTGACAATTTTACTTTCAACTGACAAAGTGTTTTTTGGCCTGATTTTTTTTAAAACTACAATAGCAGCCTTAGGAAAATAGCATCTTGTCCTTATTTTATAGATGCAGTATCTTCATTAAGGCTATTAAATACATTGAAAAGAAAAACTCTATAACTTCCCCAAATTTCTTTATTTCCTGTAGGGTTAGTTTTCTGTTTATTTTGGTCTTTTCCCTTTTTAAATGCAATTTTTCATTATATTTAAGGATTGGCAACAGCAAAAAGTAACTGGAGGCTCTTTCCTTAATGGTCTACCCACAAGAAGCTAGCCTTTATTTAGATTAGGGACCCAGAAAGGACAAACTAAAAACCACCTTACCTCATAATACTAACAGTTACTCTAAACTCTCTACACTTTCATTGTTTAGATAAGAAATGTATGACTCGGAACCTGGCTGTAGATCTACATTTATTGCAAGACACAGCTGACAACAACTATGCAACTCCAGTCCATGGGTGTCCAAAATTTTGGCTTGCTTGGGTTTCACTGAAGGAAAACAAATTATCTTGGGCCACATATAAAATACATAATATAGTCTATATGAGTAACAAAGCTATTTTAACTTATTAGCTTACTTTATGAAACAACACGAGCCCCCACTTAATGTTAAAACATGTCTGCCTGAAAACAGTAGATGCCTGTCTTCACATCAACACACAGGTATAGGTAAGTGGAAATACTATTATCAGTAATTGATGTATTGTTCTTGTCAAGTCACACAAGTATGCGAAACACTGGGTACACACAAGTCTTGATTCCAAGGACTGCACGTCAGGAACAACAGGCGGTGCTACACTGTGCTCTCACTATAATGGTCTATTGTCATCTACACAGATCATGTTTGAGCACCAACCACGTCATGAAAAATATTGACAAAAATCGCATTAATTGTGAAAAGAACACAATCCTAGTGAGTTCTATGGGCCACACTCCTAGATGTCCAGGGTCACATGCAGCATGTGGCCGTGAACTGGAACCTACTCCAGGCAGGGCTTATGCTAGCCTTCTGCGCATCCAGGTTTCTGCCACAGCAGCTCCCCACTCCCTCTGGGGTTGCTCTGACTACAGCAGTCTTTGCTCCTTTTAGCCATTTACTACTTTTCTATTGCCTTTTGGGTTTTGAGAGGTTGACGAAGACTGTGTGCTACAGCTACCTATACCCAAGCTGTTAAATATTCAAAATCACGTAAGTCAGAGATTAAACCACGAGTAACTTGAAATAGCCACTGTGAAGAGTATTTCTACTACAGATACAGGTAAATTCTGATCTCTCTCCTGTTTCTTTTTCCATTATAGGTTTGTAACATTTCAATTCACTGTAAACTTAATAGATTGCCAAAAAGAACAGAAATTAACAATTTTTAACTAGAAAACCAGTTGTTTTTTTTTTTTTAGTTTACAAAAAAACTACATCACACACTCTATATAAGGCAGTGCATCTACATTTGGTGATACTTATGATGGTATACAGAACAGACCTCTCACCTGCATATCCAACTCATGGCATCTTTGAGCAATTTCTTCCTTTGCTGATAAAGCTTCATTTAGTTCCTCGGTAGTTTTCTTCAACTGATGAAATGGAGACACTTAATAATTACAAATAATTACACATGTTGCTCCAACACAGAATTAAAACATTTCCCTCTTAGATTATTTGGGGGGCAGTAAAAGGGAAAATCAAGACTTCTTCTGTAAGACTTAAAAGAAGGTACTTGTAACTTTGAATTTCTTCTTTTTTCTCTTTGTTTGTTTTGAAGCAAGGTCTTGCTACAGAGTCCTAGGGGGCCTTAACTCACTATGTAGCCCAGAATGGCCTCCAATTTGTGGTGATCCTCCTGCTTTAGCCTCCTGAGCGCTGTTATTACAAGTTTGTACTACCACATCCAGTTTAACTTTGAATTTCTTTTAGCCTTCAGTCTTATCATTTCTGTCTTTTGAATTCATTCTTTTCTCATATTAAGTCTTCTTAATATGACATCATCATCTATCTGGGCTACTTAGTTCTTGGTAATATTGGTTTTTTTGTTTTTGTTTTTTGGTTTTTTGAGCCTGGCTTTGAACTCACTATGTAGCCCAGGCTGGCCTCAAACTCGCAGCGATCCTCCTGCCTCAGGCTCCTGAGTGCTGAGATTATAGCTGTGTACCACCACACCTGGCTTGCTGATTCTTTTAATAAATGAGAAATTTATCTTGGTAAAAGATGTCACAGAAGAGCAGGGGTTTCAAATGCTAACATAAATAGCTAGAACACAAATTTTTTCAACACAAATTTTTTTTTGTCATACTAAACATATTAAATGTTTAAGCTAATCTGCATAATCCCAGTTTAAAATAAAGATTGCTACTATTCTGTTTCTCAATATAAATCAAGCATTTCCAAATTGTGTCTATTATTATAAATCTTAAGTTAGCAAACTATGAACCAAAATGACTGAAATAAAATTTTGTCTTTTCAGGTTACCAAAACTCTGTAAACATGGAAAAAAAAGCAATCAAAGTAACACTTTTTAAAACCAAATACTGCACAGCAGGAGAAAGATAAATTTCAACTTTAGGCTGACATTACACACAAAGACTTTTATACAGAACATTTAGGAGTCATAAGGAAAAAATGACAAAAGACAAAGAATACAAAGATTTCTATTCATGCATTGAAAGAGATCTCACAGAATAGCTTGAACATAAAAACAGTATAACCATATTTTATTAAGAAGTGACATTTAAAACTACAAAATAACTTTGCCATTAAAATTATAGAAAGACATTACAGAATTCCTTTAAAAAACAAGTCCTTTCCTTGAGCATTTAAAAACAATGTAAAATTAAATACCTGGTGATCCAAATCAACGTATGCATCATTTCCAGAAGAGACAGGAGACTCTTTACTCATTAGCTGAAATTAAAATATAAATTATAAATGCGAAGGAAAAAAGACACCCTACATAACATACAAAAATCACAGCCACCACTGAAACACAAAAGTTAAGATGAAAATACAAAAATAAATGTAGTATTTTCCTGTAATTAATGCTTCTGAATCTGGACCTTTTTGTCACTCCAAGATAATGCTTTCATTTAAAATTAGAGGTCTAAAAATGTGTAATAGATATTGCAAAACAGGAAGAAAATGTTCAAATGGGAAGGGGAACTAGGGAAGAGAGAGGCGGCAAGGAAGGAAAGAAAAAGAAAAGAAAATGAGAAGAGGAGAAAATAGAAATAAAGCTTTTGTAAATAAGCAGAGGAAGAGGGGTTGAAGGAAGGGTACAGGAATGAAGAAAAAAAAGAATCAAGCTATATCATGTACAGGCACAAATTCCCTATGATGAATGTGATCATTATGTGTACCTAAAATGTATCAATAAACTTAATTAATTAAAAAAAATTTAGAAGTCTGGCTGGGCATGGTGGCCCACACCTGTAAACCCACAACTATGGAAGGCCGATGCAGGAGAATCAGTTTGTGTTCAATTCAGCAACTCAACGACAAGATCCTGTCACAAAATAAAGAGGTGGGGATACAGCTCAGTGTGAAGGTCCTGCGTTTTGATCTCAAACATACACACATACATATATAATAAAATTAGAGGTCTGATTTCTGGTGCTCATTTTCATTGTAAGCCCCAGCCATTAAGAATTAAGTAAAACTTATTACGGGAAAGACAAACAATGAAATTAAAAATGTGGCTGGGTATTTTTAAAAGTAACTTTACAGTAAAAATAACAGTATTAAGTACTTATTTCTAACTAATGAACATGGGCACTATCAATATTAGTCAAAATTATCTGGCTAATGATTAATGACGACGGTGTGGATGTACACAAACACCTCCTACATCTTTGCCTCTCTCACCATTGGACTGCAAAGGGAAGATCCAAAGGGTCTGAGAGAGGTTGAAAAACAGAATTCTGAGAATGACCAAGGCTGGAGCAGACTCCAGTGGCCCTAATCTTCTATGGTTTCTTTCTGATGTTCTTTCTATCTGAAGAACAAAGGGTGGAAGGACAATCCAAAATGTGATTTTAGCCTTTACCCTGCTCTTCACAGAACTGAAGTGCCTACTCTGCCTGAGGAGTGCCTTTACTATGTATCAGTGGTTCTCAGCATGAGATTCCCACACCAACAGCAGCAGCACTGCCGGACGACTCATCAAAAATACAAACTCTTGCGCCCAGCCCAGGTTTACTGATTCAGAACATCTGTGGTTAGGCCTGGCTATGTCCAGGAAGTCATCCAGGTGACTTTGGTACATGCTCTAATTTGAGGAACACCGCTCTAACTCAATGTGATAAGAAGGGTAGGAAATCCCTCACTACAACTGGGGGGGAATGAAGTCCTGGGATGAGTAAAAAACACTAGCTTCAATGTTCATCCCTTAAAGAATGTTAATATATTTTTTCAAAGTTTTCTCCCAATTAAAAAAACGTTCAGTACCCACTGTAAAGAAAATTTCAGGAAAAAATATGAAAAAATCTTATGCCATCTAGAAATAGATCTCTTTTATAATTTCAAAATATTTAAGAATTAGCTACCTGTGCCAATGATGGGTACAGCAGAGTTCAAGCAAGACAGATAATTCAGCAAACCTATTATGGTTTGAAAAGGCTATAACATTCAGTGAGAATGCATCTAATTCAGAGGTAGGAAGGACAAGAAAGTAGAAATACTTTCTTCCGGTGTTTCTCCTTTTCACTTTGTTACATTTTTGGTCTTTATAACTCAGCAACTATCACTCAGTAAAAACCTAAGCGTCCCACTCTGGATAAGCTCCTTTCACTGCAGGTCTCCCACTGGGTTCTACCGATGAACCTGTTCCCATTTCATTCCCTGAGCTCCTAGGCGCTGTCCCTCTTTGCTTTCCCTGTTCCCAGCTACAACCCATTCTTTCATTCACTTTGCTTCAACTCTATGGTAAGTACCACTGCTTCTCCTAGCTAAAGTCTACTTACAATTATTCTACTAACTTCATCTTATTTTTGGGACTCTCCCCTCCCTATTTTATAGAAGACCATAGTCATTTGTTTAATCAGTTAACCTTCTCCACCCTAGATTTCATAGCCTATTGCTTCAGTAATTTTCCTATGTATTCTCAACTTTCCTCCTACCTCATTACTTCTCACAAGCAAAACCTCAATTCCAGATCAATCCAACTATGAATCTCTTTCAGCCATATATTTTTAGTAAATACTGAGAGAGTAAAAAACCTGAGAACGCCCACAAAAACTCATGCTGCTGCTAACAAATATGTCCAGTCTCCAGAGGTTCAAAGCTGCTGGCAAATCACAGCTGTGCTTCCCCAGTCCACACCATCTTCATCTCCCTCAGTCTTTCTTCTTCTCAAATCTCATTTATTTTAAAAAGTTTTACTATTATTATAATTATTATAATATCTTTTGTCTGTATTTCTTTGAGACAGGGTCTCATTATGTAGTCCAGGCTGGCCCTGAAACTCACTGTGATCCTCCTGCCTCAGTCTCCCAAATGCTGGTATTACCGGTGTGTGCCACCACACCTGGCAAACCCCATTTCACTCCCCAGGACTTCATGAGGCAATCTTGCTTCCATTGAGACGTTTCCCCAGTCTCCTATACCCCAACCTGTAAGATTAACTCCACTATCGCCCATCCTTTCCTTCTCCACTCCTGCCGTGGTACACACATGAGGTCTTCTTCCCACCCAAGGCTCATCTGGCCACTTCTGATCTCCATTCAGACTTTTCCAGATTCTCAGACTCTGTTCCATTCAGTCCTCTCATTTTATATCTCAACCTCTACCTTTCTCTTTCTATGGCTTTTTCCTGTTAACATTCAAGTAGATACAAGACTATCATTTACCAGAACAGACACTTCTCCAAAATGATACTACAGAAATGCTCAACAAACACATGAAAAAACATCATTATCCACTATGGAAATAAAACTCAAAAAAACAGTAAGATACAATTTCAAACCCACTAGGCTGGCTATTATCGTAAAAGATGGACAACAACAAGAGTTGGCAAAGATGTGAAGAAACTACAATGCTCAGCTCACTGACAGTGGAACTGTAAAATGATGCAGCTGCTAAAGTAAAAGCCTGAAGTTGAACCATGGTAGTAAGTTGAGGATCATTTACATTGACCCAAAAGATCTGAAAGCAGTTGTTCAAAACAAATGTAAACATTCACGCCTACTGCAGCTTAATTTTATATCTTGTTTCATTTGACATTTTAATTTTTTCCCTGCCATTAAATAATCAGCTATATTCTATTTGCTGAAGGTATCCAAAGTTAAATACTAGTTTACTAAAGTACATATACTGCTTTTACATTTCTGTTAATATAAAATAGTTTAATAAACATTGTTATGCTCAATCTTGATCTGCACTCTGTAATTCTTTGGGATGCAATCTAAGATGAAAATCAGCTAGTCACAGATTTTAAATTGAAAATTATTCCCTGTTATAGATACATCTATTAGAAAATATAGAAAAAGAAGCTGTCTATGCTCAGTGACAGTGTGCTTGACTAGCATACACAAAGCTCTAGGTTCGCTCACCAGCACCACACGCAAAAAATTAAAACAAAAAACCAACCAACTAATCAAACAAAAAAGAGTAAAAATATTTAGCCATTTGGAGAAAAGTTCCTACTTGGGCAACTGCTTTTGCATTCATCTTAATTTTTAATAGAAATAGGATCACACTGTTTATGTGTTTTGTGGTATCTTAACGGTCGTGGCCAAACTGAATCACATATGATATAAAAAGATACATTTAAAAAAAGATTCAACAATTTATACAGTGACCATCAGTTCTGACTGACAAACTCATCAACTTTTTAGTTTTAGTTTTTTGAGACAAGATCTTACTATGTTTCAAACTCCTGGGCTCAAGCAACCCTCTTGACTTAGCCTTGTAAAGAATTAGGAATTTGTCTCATGACATCCTCAGCTTGATCAACTTTTCAAAGGTCCTATGTAATAAAGAACTTGGCCAGCTTGTGTCCCTGTTAAGAGGTTGTCTATAAGTCTTTGGAATTTTCCTAGTGAGAGGAGTGTCTTTTGTTATTTACATGCACTGAGAAAATAACTCTAAGCGGGGGGTGGCCATGTCAGGATAGACCAGTGATGAAATGAGCCACTTGACATGAGCCTGACTTCTAGGGAAGAAGGAGGCTGGAACATCATTTCAATCATATACCCAAGAGGTCAATCAAACCCCAATGAAGACTCTGGATAACAAAGCTAGCTTCTCTGGCTGCCAAGACACTGCATATTCTTGCAGGATTATTTACCAAGGGGGTCCTGAATCCACTGGGAGGCGACAATAGAAACTTTGCATCTGGGCACCTTTCAAAGCCCAGTACTTTTTGACTTAATGAAAACTTGAAATTAAAAAACACATTTAATTGTATTTGTTTCCATCTGCCATAATAAAATCACTATTATTTCTGAGTTTACACTCATTACAGTGAATTACAGAACTTAAGGGGGTACGGGCAACTCTTGCACTTGAAGCCAGCTGGTCAGATGTGCGGGCATCTGGGGAATCCTGAATTTGGAGCTACTTTCGGAAGAGAAAGCAGTTGTGAGCACTGTACCTTTAATGTATGAAGTATGGCACAACTCCGAGTGTTAAGTGTCAGAGTCGCTGTAAAAAGATTGTCAAAAATCAAAAATTTATTTGCATTTGGCATTTTCAAGTTTGCCTCTTTTATTTTTCTCTGCTAGTGCATATTCACGCACTGTATATAATTTTGGTTTCCTTCATCGCTTTTATGACTAAAAATGGTTTAATGTCCTGAGACTGACCAGCTATTATTCTGTATTCTATTTGTATTTTCAGGTTTTATATTTGAAATATTAAACTAGACACTACTTTAGGTATGGTTGGAGTTGAAGACTCATTTTTTGCTATCAGGAAACCAACAGTTAAATATGAGGCAGGCTGTTGGTTTAAGGGAGGTATTAATTATTAGTTTTGGGAATTAGTCTACTATTCCTAGCACTTGAAAAATTAGGAATAGCTGTATCTACACTTGCAAAGTAAATGTTTTATTTTTAAATAAAATGAGACTTTCAAATAACTATGATTTTTATAAATAGCTTTACATAGCTTTACATAAATAAACAGCTTTATATAAATAAAGTAAGCTCTACTATAAATGTAAAAGAAAAAGTTCTTGGGCTGCGGGTGAAGCTCACCTGGTAGAGAGAGCATGCTTAGCACACAAGAGGGCCTGAGTTCACTCAAGGGGAGGTGGGGAGAGATAAGAGAGGAGAGAGAAGAGAAAGGGAAAAGAAAAAGGGTCTCTAAACATGAGTGGGAAGACTGCTTTCTTAAATTCCTACTTCTATTTAAACTCATCTTCGTGTTTGCTCTTCTAATTTTTCACAAAATGTAAAACATACCTCTTGAATGGCTGTCATGACAACATGTTGAACAGATTCCTCCATCATCATAATGGCTTGGATGTACTCTGCAAACAAGAACAATCTGGAATGTCACTGTCAAGGTTAAAGACAGTCAAAGGGGGTAAAAGTTAACACTTCACAAATTCTTTTTTTGGTGGTGCTGGGGATTAAACTGGGGCCTCTCGAGCCGGGCAAGCACTCTTACCGCTGAGCTATACTCCCTTCCTGTATTTTGACTCTTCTGAAGGATCCCTTGTGAGGTTGATATGCTTCATGTATGTGCCAAAATAAAGCAAAGGCTGAAAATTACAGTATTTATCTTTCTTGAAGATATTTTTCCCATTCCATATCCAGGTGAGGTTGCAGGTGAAATCAGGAGGGCAGCATAGCATGATCATCCATTAATGTCAATCAATGCAACAGTAAAGCAAAGGCCTGATGGGAGAGCCTCTATCCCACTTCATCTAATATCCAAACATTATCTTTCCCACTAGCCTTCCTATGTAGAAAAAACAAACAAAAAACCCTAAACTCTGTGATTTATTCTATGGGACATTAAAACACTGATTTGTGTACAATTTGTATGTTTTCTACTAGAGAAAAAATCTTTATGGAGTAGAAACCCGTTTAGGACAAAGATTAAGTGAACTTAAGACAGAATACTATAGTTAAATAAAAATTATATAATCCTGAGCTTTAAAATAAAGCCCCATACCTCTAATATGTTAAGGCACCACCATCCTCACCGCCGCTGAGAAAAATACCTCCTAGCTGTCAGTAGTTAATTTTATTTTTATTTGGAACAATTCTTTTCCTTCAAATCCAACAACAGATAACAAAAGCTGTATGAAGCATTAAAAAAAAAAAAATCAGAATGACAGGAAGAGTCTAACAAATATAACAAGTATGTTTTAGTAATAAATATTTTAAAAGGTAAAGAAGTTTCAGACTCATCTGTTCTTCAGATCTAAAACACACGCATACACGTACACACATGCATCATATACACACATATTACCTCCTGATTCTTTAAAGTAGTATATAAAGGGGTCATACTGTGAAACTATCAAAGTAATCTCTTGGTAAGACACGTAGTATGTGGGATGCCAAAATAATCAAATTTTGACATTGTGATATTCTGGTTGTTAAGGCCAAAGCTTTGAGCTTATCAAAAACGTGTTATGAAAGGAAATATTGTCAGAAGGATACTTATACCTAACCAAATGTTTGGTTACACAAACAAATATAAACAACACACTAAATCTCAGGCATTGTTCTTAGAGCAACAGTGAAAATACATCCTAACTTGACTGCTATTTGGCCAATAAGAAATTCTTTTAGTATGAGGTAAATTTTTTTGTTTTGCTTTCTTAATGACAATCACAGTATGAGTGGTGGAATACAGCAAGGTTATGCTTTTAGATACTCTGTTCAAAGGCATCAGACACAGAAACTACCACAGTGAGGATGACTGAGCAGCCTTCAGAACAAAAGACTATGCAGATGCAAGGGAAGCACAGAGTACCGATGATGGGAAGGGAAAGCTAATGATAGCCCACTGGAAGTGAAGATAGTAACCATAAGTAAGAAGGTCATGAAGTTAGTAGGTGTGAGAGGGGAAGCGTTAGTCAAGAAGCGGTGTTGCCACGTCAAGGCCCTTCCCCGCGAACACCGTAAAGTGCTAAATGATAAAATGATGATGACAAGTACACTAATGTGCAATTTTTTAAATAAAAAAATCCACAAATCTCTAAAGTGCAATATACACTAATTTATGATTACTAGGTGCATATTTGAGGTAATGTTGAAGAAAGAGGTATTCTGTGTAAGGGAGTTTACTCTGAATCAGAGCTGCCAAAATTTACAGAATGGTGTAGTACAAACACCCTTAAATTTAAATTCGAAAGAAACGTGATTTCCCTTCCTAGCCTTTCACAAGTTAGAAATCTTGGCACGTCATATATTTATGAATGCTGGCTTCTTAACCTGTAAACAGTATTTTTTATTGTTAGTGACTGGTATAGTACCAGCCAGAAGGTAGACAGAAACTAAATATTACCAGGGATATAGCTCAGTGGCACAGCGCCTGCCTGGCAAGCATGAAGTCCTGAGTTCGATTTGTGGTACCAAAAAAATAAAGAAACGAAATATTATCAGAGTATCTTCTACTAATAATCTTTGCTTTTTCAAATTTACCACCATTTTATTTCCACCGATTAGCAGTCAACCCACGTAAAGGTACCATTAGTCAAAGTTTTCAGCAGCTGCTCTTCACGTCCAACTGGAAACATCTAAACACAGAGCCTTTTTATTTGTATAGTATTCTAGGTATTACAAGGCAAATACACAGGCACAATTGCATTTATTCCTCATGATGATGAGATTTCTGCATGCTTATTTTGCAGACAAGGAAATTGGTTAAGCATCCTGTCCAAAGTTAGGTAGTAAATGGCACAGCCACTTTAGTGGGCCTTTTATTATATACCATGCAAACACAATGACGGCTTATTCCTCACAATTAATGAAACTCAACTTGATTTTTAGCTCTCTGTTGTATTCCTGAGAGTAAAGAAGATCCTAAAACTGGAAAACTAAGATGTTAAAATCCTACTAAAAGACATTTCATCATTTATACAATTGCAAGGGGAAAACTGAATCTAGGTTGATCTATGTGAGAACTTCAATAAATATATGACCATCTTCTTTCCATAAGAATACAGATATAGGTAACATCTTTGTCTTTTCTCGGTCCTATTCTGTAATAAATAAGGTTAGCCAATGCTTAATAGCTACAGTTCTCCAAGTACCTCCATATATTAAGTAGAATCCCAGAACTTGATGCATTTCCTAACATAATACATAAGAAGCCATTATCTAATATCAATGAACTATAATTAATTTCTCATTCATCTTAAAATGAAAGCATCTTCTTTGAGATTTACCATTCCTAAATCTCCTTATGTATTTCTAATCTTTGACAAAAAACTTGTTAGATATTTCAGATACAAAGATCATGAATATAGAAAATTCTGTAATTATTGAGCTAAACTAAATGAATATGTAAACTAAAATCTTCTATATGAGCAAGGCATGATAAAATTTAGAAGGAATGGGGCTAAAGAGACAGATACATTGTTTAAAAAGAATTCTGAACCAAAGACCAATATAACTAGTAATGACTTCAAGAAAAGTGTTGATTTCTTAAACTTATTACCAGAACACCAGAGAAGTACAAAGAACAAATAATGAAAATCTACTGAGTATTATCAGGTGTGTGGAAAAAAAAGGGAAAAAAATCCTTTGGACTCAAAGAAAAAAAAAAGAAAAGATTAGTCTTCCTCAGTGTAAGTAGTGGTAAAATAGTGTACTGTGTTGTCATCACTTAGAATAGCCCTTATCTATCCATTCTGCTTCATTTATTTCTCTTTATCCTTTCCTCGTTATACTCCAGTTAGAGTTCTTTGGGGTTTTTAGGTCCCTCAGAAGTAATCTTGGTCTTTCTTATATCCAGTTCTACTACTACTTATGTTACTCTGAACCCACTGTCATCCACAGCTTTGCTTAAATAACTCCCTGCACCATAAGTCTTGACTATTCCCCACTACACATTTCCTCCTGCTATGCTTTGTATCTAGATATTCCCCTCAAAGCCTCATGCACTCCTAGTTGAGGCTTCTGGGAGGTGACTGATTCTCTGGGGCATGATACTCATCAGCAGATTAGTCCACAGATAAACCTACAGCTAAACGTGACGTGGGAGGTGAAGCCTGGTTGAAGGACATGGGCCACCCAGGGTACGGCCTGGAAGAGTCTACTTCCCTCCTCCCTTGATCCTTCTCTCCATTTCCTGCTGCCCTGCCATAAGCTGTCTCTCCTCAGCCATGTCCCTCTTCCATGCCACCCTGCCTTGGAGCCAGCAGACTGACTAGGAACTGAAATGTTTACAAACTAGAAGCCAATATAAGCCTTTCCTCCTCTAAGTTATATGTGCTGTGTCTTATGTCTCAGAGACGAGAAAGTGAGACAACCTCAGAGCACTTACCATTACCCTGGTTATGTATTTATTTGTGTTATTACTTAATGCCTTTTCCCTCCACTCAATTTTCACCAGGGTAGGTATTGTGCATGTTTTCTACCACTATGCTGCCTTAGACTCTAATGTATCAGTTCAATAAATATTTATAAAATAAACCAAAGAAAAGGGAAAAATACATTTAAAGAAAAATAGTGTGTAATAAACTTGAACAGTATTTTTTAGAAAACAAGTGATCTCCATCCAAATGAGAGTACCAGTCAGTGGAGGGAACAGAAAAGCTACCTAAGATTAAATGAAACCTGACGTAGGAAGATCACAAATTCAAGCCCAGCCAATGTTAAAAAAAACGGCCAGGAATGTAGCTCCATGATAAGGCCCTGGGTTCAATACCCAGCAACACACATACACACACACACACACACACACACACACACACACACACACACACACAAAATAGATGAGCACTTTGGAAAAAATTTTAAGCAGATGTAATTACATTATCTACGTATCTAAGCTAGTCTTCAAGTAACTTCAGTGAAATACAAATCTGTTGCCTTGGATTTGCTATATACATAAAAGTACTGTATTTTTTTCCAGCACTCTGGAAGGCTGATGCAGAAAGATGGAAACTTTTGAGCTCAGCCTTGCCTGGTGACTTAGTCAAACCCACCGCAAAAGAAAAATAAAAGGGTGGGGATGCAGCTCAGTGCAAAGGTTTTGGGTTCAACCCCTAGAACCAACCAAACAAACAAAAACAAAACAGTAAAAAGAAAAGAATAAAGTACCATATTTTTCTAACAAAGTGTCTACACTATTTAAGAATAGCCTTCTCTAAGTCTAAACTGCTGATTTTACTAACTTACATTCCACAAATTCATAGATGAATTACTAGATAACTATAAAAACTGACATTTTAAAAGTCCACAAGACACACAACAGAAAACTGAACTAAAATCAATGATTTAAGATACTATCTATAAATAATTATGTTTCCACATAAATCAGTTTGAATCACTATTATGTAAGGAATTGTATATCAGTATCTCATTTAGTCCCCAGAATAACCTTATGAGGTAGGCACTAAATGTTATTTTTGCTGAGAAACTAAAACACAGAGATTGAATAACTTGCCCCATGCCCTCCACACTTGTGAGAGTGGAACTGCGCCTTGACAGTTGACTACGCAATGCATTCCATGCCAGGAAAATCAAGTACACAATTCCTTCGTGAACTACAATTTCACAAACTGAATCAGTAAATCAGCCAGTATTTACACAATAATAATAATGATATATTACATTGAATCAATATAGTTCTGGAAACAAACTTGGATATTTTAGATCATAACACAAAAGAAACAAGGGAAAACAAAAGATAATTCAGATTTACATGGTTAGTAAGATCTTTCTAGCACTGAGATAGCACAGGAAAATCACTGATTTATTTTAAAAGTCTTTGTTCATCTTGGTGAAATTTTCAAAAGTCCTTTAATTTTAAAGCTTTTGAGAATACATCAATATTAAATATCCTTCTAGGTGCTGTGGTGCACACCTACAGTCTCACGTACTCAGGAGGCTGAAGCAAGAGGAGCTATCACAAGTTCAAGGTCAGCCTAGAAAATGAGATCCTATCTCAAAATAAAAGAAGCCAAGGATATGTAAAGTTCTGGGAAGAACAATCCCCAGTAAAAGAGGAAGAGAGAGGAAGGGGGAGGGGGAAGGGCAGCGGGGAGGGAGAAAAGAAAAAACATTGTATTTCTAAAAGTTTTGTAATTATTTGTAAGTGGAATAAAAAATCTTGATATGTAATACAATCACCTCCTTTCAAAGATAGTTAAAGGTAATATTTAAAATTTAACTGAGGAAGTGGGTTCTTATGGAAGAGCAGCTATCAGATTTAGGGGTAGGAAATCTAATTACAAATCTATTTTATTTAGAGTTTATATATAATGATAAATGTTTCCTCTTCTTTCCCCACTATAAAGACAAACCTGTAAATGTTTCAGAATACATTTTTTAAAATCACCTATGGCATCTACAATAGATGTATGCTGGGAAAATAGATCTGAATACCCAATGAACTGGGGTACATTTCCGTTCATTTGTTGCAAACTAACAGGCAGACCTTGTCCAATCAATGGTACCTTTTTATCAAACCTGGGTGTGGTTAAAATGCATTACAAACATTATGCTTGGGCTAAGGGTTTAGATCCATGGTAGAGTGAATGCTAAGCAAGCACAAGGCCCTGAGTTTTATCCCTAGCAGCACCGTAGGAATGAAATAATCTACTCAAAGAATTATGTGGTCTTGTAGAAAGGGAAAAAATACCACAATGAAATGTATTCTAATTTGCAAAATTCACTTAAGGTTGCAACAAATTACTAGCAAACTACAAAAAATGGGAAGCATTAGAAAGACATTATTATTTATACTGGTGCTTTATATATAAGACATATTATATATTACTTTCCTAGATTAACTTCAAATAAATTACCTTGCTTCTGTTCACAATTCACAGCACAGCCTAAAATGAGTTGAAGCATCCTTCCAAGCTCTGCTGCATCAGAATGCTCCCCAATAAGGTTTACGTCGGGAAGGGTAAAGTCATTAATCTGCTGTCCCAAAATCTGAATGAAGACAAAAAGATTATAATTGCATTCGCTTTTATAGACCAAATAAAATATTTGACAGAGATTAGTTTGTTGTCACTAAAAACTCACTGCCAAGGATAGAGCTGTTCTGACAATCTTACTTCCAATTTCCATACCTAAGTTATAACTATCTGCAGTCACAGCAACTTAGTCCCCAACCCTTTATGTTATATGTACACTGAGAAAGAAACTGTACTACTAATTCCTCTACCGCTCTAAGGAGGACTGCATGTTTGCTTTCTGATAAACTAGAAGTAGAAAGTTTCCAAACTAGGGGGCAGCAGGAAGAGCTGCGTAAACAAAAATTCACACCAACAGTAAGATTTTCCCTAGTCATCTTCACTGTATTTGAGTCCCAAAACACTGGTGGCAAGGCATGATAGCAGCAACAACGTAGGTTTCTTTTATGGGGAGAGTGACTGGCCCCAAATGAAATGATACATGCAAACAAGTGGAAAGATCTCTGCCTGATAACCCCAAAGTGAAATTTAATAGTATAAAAAAATCCTCACTCAGATTTCAATCAGGTTTTTATAGTACTTTTGTTTTTAAATATCAACAAACAACCCAAGATTATTAAGACATTTGAGAAAAGTCTCCCATGTGAAAAATAGACAAAAACAAAGTCAGAAGAAAGCAAACAATGCAAGAAGTGAAAGAAAATAAAAAGCAAACCCTATAATTAGACATATGTAGAAAGTAAAATTATCAAGAAAAGGAAAAACAGGATTATTTAAAAATTCAGAATCATAGCTTTTTCTGACCTAGGTGAGAAAAGAGGTTATGAACAGGAAGGTAGATAGAGTAGCCTTCAAAAATGGTGACAATGTTCCACCGACCTATGTTACATGACATAATTAACCATTAAACGGAACATATACATATCATGCACTTTTCTGAATGCACATTTATTTAAGGTGATGTGGGTTGTGGGGAAGGAGGTTTGTATTCTAACCAGGTGATCAAGACCTCTTATGTTAAGATAAAAACTGAGCACTGAGGCTGAGGTGGAGGTCAGGGGTAGACATATGTGAGGCCATGGGCTCCAGCCCCAGCATCAAAAGCAGGCAAGTAAACGAATACCAACCTCCACCAAAAAACACCCTCTAACGTAGAATGAAGAAGAAAACCACACAGCAACACATCAGGGAAAAATATAGCACACAGGTTACCCCAGGGCAGTCTTGAGGTAAGCGTGTACTTAATGAACTTTAGCAAAAGCCAATCAACATGGCTAGGGTAGATGAAACCAAACTGGGGGTAGGGCATTTAGGTCCTTGTGAACTACATTAAAGACATGGACTTTATTCTAAATGGTAATGGGACAATAAACTGAATTAAAGAAATAGGACTACAACGTCAATTCAGATTAAATTTAATCTTCATCTTTTTTGTGCTACAAGGGATTAAACCCAGTTCCTTTGAACTGAGCTGCATCTCCAGTGCCATCCCCCTTTGCAGTCTTGGAAACAGAATCCAAGGATGAGTGTAATTTTTTACTCTGAGGTAGGGTCTCTCTAAGCTGCCAAGGCTGCCCTTGAACTTGCAATCTTTCTGCCTCAGCCTCCCTCCATGGTGGGATTACAGGTATATGGCTTTTTTTTTTTTTTTTTTTTTCTGCCAGGAGAGTCTTGTTAAATTGCTTGGACTGGGCTCTAACTTGCAGTCCTTCTACCTGTGCCTGCCAGAGTACTGGGGCTTACAGGCATGTGCTACCGTAACTAATTTCTGCTTTGAGCAGAAATATCAATCTCTAGAAGAATATACAAAAATTGCTCATAATGATGCTTACTAGGAGGGCAGAATGAGTTAAGAAATACATAAAATATGAAAGTAAAAAGAAACCTCTTTAATATTCTCAAATATAAAACAGTATATCCATAATATAAGACTATATGAAAGTTCCCTTCAGAAAACAAAAAAGAGCTCTTGGGAATAAAAAATGATTGATTTAGCAAAAAAGGAAGCTTTAGTAGGCAACATGGGTAAAAGTTGTGTAATTATCACAGAAAAAGCAAAACACAAGAGAAAAAAGAGCTAGGCATGGTGGCACATACCTGTAATCCCAGCAAGGGGCAGGAGGATCACAATGAGTTAGAAGTTAGCCTGAACTACATAGTGAGACCCTTTCTCAAAAAGACGAGAGAGAGAGAGAGAGAGAGAGAGAGAGAGAAAGAGAGAGAGAGACAGACAGACAGACAGAGACAGAGAAATTAGATAATTAAGAATCAGTAAAGGAGGCTCAAAGATTGAACAGGAATTTTAGGAAAGAAAGCAAACTAGAAATTGATGTGTAAACTGATGAGTAAAATATATACATATATTTATATATAAGGAAGTTTTCTTAAGACTAGACCTAGTAGATATTTAGCCAGGTACAGCAGCACATATCTGTAATCCCAGCTGTCTGGGAAGCTGCAGCAGAAGGACTACAGTTTAGGCCCAGCTGGGCAATTTAGGTGATCTAGCAAGATCCTGTCTCAAAATTCAGAAAAAGCCTGGGAATGTAGCTCAGTGTGAAGGTCCTGGGTTCAATCTCCAGTATCACAAAAACAAAACAAAATGACCCAAAACCCCCAAGGTAGGTATTCAGTTCTAAAGGATTGCTAAGTACTAAGCATAATAAAGTATCTACCACCCCATAAAATGCACCTTACACCAAAGTATACAATCACAAATCTTGGTGATTAAGGTTAAAAGAGATCTTAAAATTTTCACAAAATGATCAAGTTACTAACAGGGTAGAAATCCCCATGAAAGGCTGAAGCTCTTGAAAAAGCAGCACTGGAATTCAGAGAACAATGTAGTAAAAGGCCTTTGAAATACCGAGATTTTCCAACTGAAATTCAACAGCCAACTCAACCTGAAGGAGAACTAGGATAATTTTCAAATGTACAAAGCCTGAAAATATTACCTATCATGTACTCTTCGAAGATGGCATGGGAAAATATACTCCACCAAAATAATAAAGAATAAATAATAAAGAAAGAAAAAAGAATAAAGAAAGAAAAAACAATGAAAGAGAAATAATTCAGTAAAAGGAATGAAAGGACAGAGATGAATTTCTAGGATGAAAGTGAAAGGTAACAACTGGGGCAGGTGGATGATAAATTAAGAGTTCAGCCTGTGCAACTTAGTGAAACCGACGTCAGAATTAAAAACAGAAAAAGGGCTCAGGATGTAACTCAGTGCAAAGACCGTGGGTTCAACCCCCAGCACCGAAAAAAAGGGTAAAGTCAATTCCTCTACTTTCTCAATTTTTCCCCAGGAGTTCCAGACCTTCTGATGCAGACTGAAGAGGATAAAGTAAGTTCTAGAGGCAGGGTTTTGAGAAAGATAATATGGAAGTAGGCACTGGAGCTGACTTTAATGGTGCACAGGCTCTCGACTCCCTTCAAAAGTAAGGGAGGAATAGAGACAATTAATAATAAACATAAAGTAGTGATCATCAACAAAATACCCAAAACATAGTGAACATGGTTGCACATCTACTCATCACCTAATAGATGCCTGCACCAACATCCTATAAACTGTACCAGAGAAGACAAACTATACATTTTGAAGGCAATTTTTTCTTAACTTGAAACTTATACCATAAATTTCAAATACAATGTTATAAAACAATCCTTACCTCATGATTATAATCCAGGATACCTTTTAAAATTTTCTTTAAATTGCTAATCTATTTAAAAAGAGAGACAACGATGTAAAACGCAAACACAGAAACATAGTTTAAAATAAAAAAATTATCATAAGTATTTTCTCACTGATAACAGCACTAGCAACTAACACAAGTACTCAGACTATTCTAAATATATTGCAATTCTTATTTTTGTGTGGTACAAATCCCACAGTAACCATCATTCTACAATGTGGAAACTGAGTTATACAGAGGTTAAATATTCCTCCACAAACAATGAAGGGGAGAGGTGTGATGTGACACAGGCACCCTGGCTCCAAAGCTCAGGCGCTCATACACTGTCTTTTACTGTCTTAATTATGTTGCATTTAATTAAATTTAGGCTATCTCCATTTCTGCAATTCCACATGATTCACCATAAGCTAAGTTTCTAAGGCTCACTAGACATACTAGATAAAAATCCAACAATTATATACACAAAATATTTAAAGACAGAAAAACAACAAGAAATACCTTTAGCCTCCAATTATCTCCCACTTCGGTTTTGATTCTGTTTAGCCAATTTTCATCAAAATATGCAGGATCTCTGCAATTAAGGAAAGGTTAGTATATTAAGATCATGTAGCTATCATGCTAAAAAGGAAATAAAACTGAATCATATTCCATATTGCTGAAACGAACCATAAAAAATGTATTTATCATATATCAGCCACTAAGTAATTCATTATGTGAGAAAAGCTATAATTACTGTATAGCAGATTTCTCTAAAAGCAACTTCATTATTAACTCTATAAAATATCTTGCCTTTTTATAAGTAATACCAGTAAGTAGTTAATATATTTTTATGTTATAGTTGAATATACCAAACTGGAATTAACTGTAGATACCATACAAATATCCAGAAACAGTCAAAATCAACAACTTTTTAAAAGACAAAATAGATTAAAGTCGGAAAAATTTTTCAGTTAATATTTCAATTGTCTCCATCACCTAGTACTCCAAAGTCACTAACAAGGTCACTAAATTTAAGTTTCTTCAAATAATATAAATGGAGAACCTATTTTCTCAGATGTAATACTAGGCATTAGACCAAGCTGACCACCATTTCTGCTTGCAAAAGCTTAAGTACTGATGTGAACAAATACATTGAAATGAGGGTAGAACATAAACATACTTATTTTCCCTAGTGAGAACTCCATACTTCTAACAAATGCCAGGAAAAAACCCAAATTTCTCAAACTAAGCATGAATCTCATCTTGACATTTTCAAACTGATACTCTAAGAAATAACATTTTAATTAATTTGTCTAAGACACAGTAGAACACTTATTTTTTATCCTGGTCTAGTAGTAGCAGCTAAGTACGAGATCTTTCCATCACACCACAACTGCTTTTATTCAATCAAAGAACAGAATGCCAATGAGACAGGTTGGGAATAGAAGCTACATTTAAACTACCACTGTAACTCAAACTGATAAAAATAATCAGTGCTAAGTTTTATTTAAATCAGCTTTAAATAAGCAACATGTTACTTAGCATTTTAAACTTTTATTATGAAAAAAGAAAAACATACTTATTTAGGTAATACATATGTATTAAAGGAACAGTTGTAACTAAGTTTCCTCTACAGAAATCAATTAATTTTTGAAGCATGTATGTTTTGGTTTGGGGGAAAGAGGGTAGGCATGTAGGCATCCTTTAGATAGGGTCTTGCTATATAGTCCAGGTTGATCTTGAACTTGCTATGTATGAAGGCTAGCCTCAAACCAAAATATCTCTGCCTCCGCATTTCAAGTGCTGAGACTACAGGCATATGCCACCACACACAGCCTCGATGCTTGTACCTTATTACCTGATAACGTATTAACTTTACTATCTATTCTCGAAAACAGCTTCATGTTCTCATTATGAGATACAACTCACATAGCACTCAATTAGCCTATTTAGAGTATACAAACATTTTAGTATACCACACTGAAAATTATACAGGCATCACCACAATCTAACCTGAGAGCTCACCATCCCCCCAAAGAAATCTTTCAATCCATTAGCTGTCATGCCTTATTTCCTCTTCCCAGTTTCTGGAAATTAATCTACTTTACCTCCATGAAGTTTCCTATTCTGGACATTTCACATAAATGAAAATTTATGTAGTCTTTTGTGTCTTGCTTATTTGAGTGTTTTTTGAGACAGGGTCTCACTCTCTAATGCAAACTGGCCTCAAAATCAGGACACTTCTGTCTCAGCCTGTTGAGTGTTGGGATTGTAGGTTAGGCAGGCTTCACCACATCCAGTTTAGAGTGTGTTAAGGTTTATTCCATACTTTAGCATACATTAAAACCTTGTTCTTTCTTAAGGCTGAATAATATTCCACTTATAGATGTACTGTCATGTACCACCTAACATTCTGGCCAGTGATAGCATATACAGTGGTAGTGTCACAAGATTACATTGCCTAATGATGCTGTACCTACCTTACTTTCTATTGTAAGTATCCTCTATAATGTCTGCATAAAGACGAAAAATTGCCTAATGATGCATTTCTCAGTGTCCCTGCCATTAAGTGACACACAACTACAAGACATTTTGTCAGGTGATGTACAAATGGCACTATTTCTACTTTTTAGCTATTATGAACAATGATGTGTTGACAGTTGTACACAGTTTTTGTGTGGACATGTTTCATCTGGGTAAATGCATTGGGGAGAACTGTTGGGTCCCATGATAGCTCCATGTCTCCCATTTGAAGCAGAACCAAACTGTTTCCCAAGGTAACTGCATCATTACACAATCCTGCCAGTAAAGTACTTGGGTTCCAATTTTTCCACAGCCTTGTCAATGTATTATTTGTTTAGGACAGCCATCCAAATGAACGTGAAGTGGTTTCTTGTAGTTTGGGGTTTCTCTGATGGCTAATGGTAAGTGACTATTTGTGTCTTTTTTTTTTTTTTTTACCATTTGTATATCCTCTTTGGTAAAAAGTCTATTCAGATTGTTTGCCCATTGGAAAACTGGCACCAAGAAAACTGGCACATTCCTGTAATTTGAGCAATCTGGGAGGCAGAGGTATGAAGACCACCAAGTTCAAGCTCAGCCTGGGCAAATTAGCCAGATCTCAAAATAAAAAATAAAAGAGTTGGAGATGCAACTCAGTGAGAAGGTTCTGGGCTCAATCCTTAACACTGCAAAAAAGAAAAACTGGGGTGTCTTTCAATATCAAATTGTAAGAGTTTCTGTTCTTTTTGTTTTAATATTCAAGACACAGGAACATTATAATTTCTCACCTACCTTTCGTTCCTTTCCTTCCCTCCCTCCCACTTCCTTCTTTCTTTCATTCCTTTTTTCCTTCTTTTCTTCCTTCCTTCCTCTCTCCCTCCCTCCCTTCCTTCCAGAACCTTCACACTAACCTGTATCTCCAGCTTTTAAAAATTTTTTTTTTTTTTTGAGACAGGATCTTTCTTACTGAATTGCCTGGGCTAGGGTAAAAGCTGCCATTTTCCTGCCTCAATCCCCTACAATGATGGAATTACAGGTGTGAGACGCTTTGCCCAGCCTCTTTTCAATTTCTTGAAGGCCTATTTTACACACAATTTTTTAATTATGAGAAGCTGTTTATCTATCTTGTACTTCTTGGTGCCATATCTAAGAAATCTATGCCTAATCCAAAGTCAAAAAAATTTACCCCTATATTTTCCTGTAAGAATTTGATATACTTTTGGCTCTTATATTTGAGTCTATGATTCATTTCTATACAGTGACAGGAAAGGGACTAACTTCACTGTTTGGCATGTAGATATTCATACCCATCTATATTTATTTTATGTTTAATTTTGTGTTTTTGGTTGAGGTTCTTTTGTTATTAAGAAAAACCAATTTGAGCAAATTTATCCAAAAAAAGGGCAATGTACTTGAAGATCATTGAGGTGTATTATGACACTAAACACAGCTGGGCCCAAGAAAATACTGGAGTAAAAATCCAGACAATACTGGCTTTTGAAGCCAGGGATACACCTCAGAGGCCCAAACTCCTGCCTGGCAAGCACAAGGTCCTGAGTTCGATTCCTAGTACCAGAAAAAAAATGACCATAAATACTGACTTTCATCTTTGTGCCTTTCTGCCCATCTGCCATTTTCTTTCCTCAGATCAACTTTTTTTTTCTTGTTTCTCCGTATACAAGGCTGAAATTAATGTACTCATATATTCCAAATCTTTATCACTTTAGTTCCAATAATGAATGACAGCTTGGCGTTTAATCTCAATTCTAAATCCCCAGGAAAACTCAAATGTTCTAGACAATTTTTCACTCCTGGTCCAATTACACGTAGCCAGTAGGAGACAGCACTGCAAGTAAGAGACAAACGTTTGCAAGTAAGGACCAGGACTCTCACAGAGGTAGGCCCAAAGGAAAAGGGTCTGCTGTGAACTGGCAGACAGCTCTCAACTATTCTCTTTGTTCAGAATCTCTTTTTGTTGTTGTTGTTGTTGTTTTCCAGTACGGAGAACTGAACTCACAATCTTGTGCTTGCCAGGCAGGGGCTGTGCTGCTGAGCTAAATCCCCAGCCCCTGCTCAGAATCTCTAAGAACAGATAACACAAAAGACAACAAAGTGTATTCTACTGAAAAAAGTATTATAGAACTACCCTAAAGATCACAAAAGGTAAGAAAATTTTCCACGTTATTTTGGATACTAAAAGTCTCCCCAGGAATGGTGGTGCATACCTGTAATCCCAGCACTTGGGAGGTTGAAGCAGAAGAATCACTGTGAGTTTGAGGCCAGCCTGGGCTACATAAGAAAGTTCAAGGCCAGCCTGTACTACATGGTGAGACTCTGTCTCAAAATAAATAAAAGAAAAGAAAAGAAAAGTGTAAAAGGCTATAGTCTACAAAGCACAATCATGGCAATCAAGTGTCAAATCTTTTCAATTAAATAAACTCATGAGAAAGGTCATCTGTGAGTCCAGTGCTGTGTACCCCTGGTGTTGCTGGTTACCCAAAGCCAAAGGCACTCAATTTACTAACAGGGGGAAAAGTCATGTTCATAAAGCTAAAAGATACTTGTACTTCACCAGAAAGTCTTTTAAAAAATGCTTTAGAATATCTAAGGCATTATACACCCTGAGTACTGCAAAGTTATGAAATACTACTTGGCAATATAAAGTAATACTTCTCATGAATAAAATAGAAAAGTCTGAATAAAATGTTTCAAATCAAGCATGACATAGTTTGCTTGTTCCTTAAAAGATTATTAAATGAAACTCATAGTCATATCTGAGCTAGTTAAAAGAAGACAACAAAAACAGCTGCTAGTATCACATATGCCATGTATTACATCAGGAATGTACTATTGCATCATATGCTAGCACTAGCGGTCATGAAAGTACTTCAATGAAGGGATGGCTATTATTTTACAGTTAGGGACTATCAGACTCAAATTAAGTAGTTTTCACAAGTTCAGCCAGATAGTTAAGTGGCAGAGTTCAGACTACAATCATTTTCTCAAATCGGAATTCATCATGGAACTGGTTCTAGCAAAAGCAAAAACAAAACAAATACAAAACACTACAGTTCCTTGGCTAATTATCTC